GGTACAATGTTCCTGACTACCACAATGACTGATGTTTCTATTCCTTGAGCCCGGGCTCTGAAGCAGCGCACTGGAAGCGAGGACACCCCTACGCCGAAACCCGGAGCCGACAGCCTGGATTCCGCATTGCGCCTGCTAGCATCATTAAACAAGGCAAGGCTCCGCATCAATCCTGGTCGAAGTTGTCTATGCCTCAGCGGCTAACTGCTTTCGTGATTCGCGGTGGCGGCCTTGAGCATTGGGTTCTCATATGGCAATAACTTCCTCTACACCCGAGACCCATGACTCATCCTTCGGGTCTCCGCACGACAGTAACTCGATTTATGCAGGGCTTGGGACTTAAGCTTTCGAAGTTCGGGCTTCAGGATACTATCTACCTGCTATGCCTGCAAAAAATTAGGATGGGCCAGGCAGAAGTAGATCACAGAATACTGCCCGGGCTGCCTTCAATCCCCAAGGTCAGTGACAAACCACAGCCTGAACCCTGAAGCTTCACAGCCATAACGCCCAAACCCGTTACATCAACTCCCAACCTCCTTACACAGGAAAATGATAAGACACACGTCGGCCTGAAAACCCCCAGACCCCAACCCCGAAGGCCTCTAACACCCCCCCCCCCTCCCCCAAACCTCCGTTTTCAAGGCCCTGTACACCTAGCGCTTCTTGCGGCTGTAGCTGCTCAGGATCGGCTCCCAGACCCGTCCGGAGGGGGAAGCTGGAGAGCCTGTTCTTTACTTGGGGCTTCGTGGGGCTGTACGGAGTTAGGCTCCGGATGGAATTGTTTGGGGACTTCAGGGCTCTGCAACCTCTGCGAAGGTGAACAAGATACAAATGCGGTCTATGCGTCCAGCGATAATAACAAAGAGTCTTCAAAGTAAAGAAAAGTCCGGGCTGTAGTGTCTGGTGGTTTTTCTCGAGGGTTGTGCTGTAGCTTACTGCCTGCTTTGTATTGTGGCATCGCTTGGGATTGACTTCTGTTGGTAGCCGTTTGAAGTTAGGCCAAGGGCGAACACGAAACGCTTTCCTCACGGCTTCAGACTTCTTCAGCTGGATTCTGTCATGGTACGCAGTTTCAGCAGGAAAGACATCGAATCTGCCCTGTAACAGCGACCACGTAAAGGAGCGGAACCTGTTACACAGCATGTTAGCCGATTTAGGTTAGGGCTTGGGCTGCAAGGCTCGGTGCTGCGCGGGATGATGATGATGGTGGAAAGGCGGCCCCGCCTGGCAGCTCCTCCTCCACCATGCCAGGTACTACCACTCCTGTGCTCAGATGAAAGTGGCGGTTCTTAAACAGTTGATGTCCCTTCTTGGTATGTGAAGAATCCGGCTTTTGGCATTGCGGATCTATGTCGAAGTGCCCCATGTTCTGAGATTCCCAAAGACGACGCCCTTTGCAGGAACTCCCAATGAACACACTCCAGGTGGTGGCAGACTGTTGGCGTCAGCGGTGTGACGCTTTAGTTGTGAGTTGCTTGCGATGTTCTTCGTGGGCTAGGTGCAGTTCTAGAGATGTATGGACTTGACCGGGTTTGCTCCAGCACTCAGGACTGTCAGGACTACCGAAGCAGAAGCAGTCTTAATCCCACAGAAATCAGCCTGGCGAATGCAAGGCGAGGATTCAAGGCCGGGCGGGTGCGGAGAGCTTCATTCAACATGAGCTCTGATCTATGAGGCTGGTCCCGGGACCTCGAAGTTCTATGTAGATTCTCTGACTAGAAACGAATCCCTGGGAAGCATAGGCAGTTAGCGCAGCCCAAAATCCGGAATCCCAGGCAGCCCAGACACAGAACTCCTGTTGCGCTTGCTGCGTTCCGAACTCCATGCACAAACCTTGCGCCCTTGATCCCAGAACAAACCCATAACTTGCAAACCGTGCGCGACGGCCCGACCAGACCCTGCAGCATGTAATATCGTGGCAGTTCCCAACCAAAGCCGCAGTAACGAAAATGCGGATTGTTATGATTATGGGCACGGACAGAAGCCATCACCATCACAATCACCCTCAGCATGATACGAGCCATGGGCCTGGTGGGTCGTGGTTGCCGAGGTTTGGGCTCCTGTCTACACCCAGGGCACGTCTTCCAGCGGCGCTTCTCTGCTTTAGTTAGTGGTCTTGAGGTTATTAAAGGTTGAGGGCGTCCGCAATCCCTAAAACATACATCTTATGCCACATAAAACTTGGTGTTGATGAGAATAGCAATCATACTGCTACAACTACACCTACAGTACAACGGCGATCCAAGTAATCCAGATCCTTGCAATATCGACCCCATTCTGCCCCAATAAATTGTTCAATGGTCCGTGCAGCTTGTGAGCTTTCGGGACTTGAGCTAGCTCTGGTTCCGAGAATCACAACCTGGCGCCGTGGTCTATTTTCGCGTCCAATTGTCTAAGGCCCTGCTAGCAACCCAGGATTTACGAAGGAAAGGGACCAAAAGTTGCACCAACAACGCACACGGCAGTGCTCAAATGACCAGCAGACTGGGCCTAGTTGCACCGGGGACTTGTTTGAGCTCCACAAGTGTGTACACCATTGTACACCAACCTCTGGAAATCCCGCGACATGTTGAGCAAAGAGGGGGTGCCTTGAAGGCGGCGATGACTTGCTGTTGTCAGGGCTGGGGACGATGCCCTGCAGGATAGACGGAAAAGCTCCAAGCTCTGCAATCTAAGACCCTCCACCTTGCCTATCCTGAAACCTGTTCCAGAGTGTCACGACTACGCAGGAACCTTAAACCGGGTATGAGCTGAAGTATCCGATTGATGTTTGATGGTCATAAGCCTCGCCTCAAATCTATGCTTTCGGGATCTTTCGGGTTTGGCTTGAGGCTGTCGTGACTCGACGAGTAGAGCTACCAAGCACCTCAAGACTCTGGCTTTTCGGACTCAGGGCTTTTCAAGTTAAGAGTGAACGCATTGTCGCGTCTTCCAGGAGTGTGAGTTCACCTATCCTATCTTGTCAATCAGGCGACCACTTAGAACCAGCCAGACAGCCTGAAGCGTGGTGGAATCCTTCAGGGGTGGCGGCGCCGCGTGCCTTTGCCGGGGGCGGTCATATCCCAACCTCAACCCCCAGGCTTACGAGGCTTTTGGGTTTGGTTTTGGGAGTGACGTTGTTGAAATACAGAGGAGACAAATCTTCTGCCATCTCAGGCCGCGTCCCCAAATCTCCCAGTCCCTTATAAATTCAGTCTGGACCCGCACGCGGAGTAAAGTTTCAGATGTCATGCCGTCGCTTTTACATGATAATTTAGGGTAACTTGATACTATACACCAAACCAAGACATTGACATATCATAAACCCGAAATCCTAAACCCTGAGTCTGTGTATGGGGACTACTGCTGATGCATAGAAGCGGCCGGAGCAGTTGCATGCCGAAGGGCAGGTTTTGGAGCGTAGGGTGTTGAACAATCCCGGTAGGTATAGCGTCAGACTTTCTGGAGCCAGCAACCTAAGCCTCCTCGAAGACCTGATTCCGAAAGGCTACGCCCTCGAAGCTTAGCCAAAAGCTCCACGCTTTCAAATTCACCCAACTAGTGCTGGGAACACCAATAAATTCCGTGGTACTGACATCCCAGTACGTCACGACATCTCAGACCGACTATCATGTGCCAAATGCAGGTGAACTCGCAAGAAGCACACCTTCCAGGGAACAAGTCCCGAAGCCTATACGGCCTGGAGGGTGTAGAGTCTAATCTAAAGTAGTTCAGGCCAGGCTTTTGCGGCCCGGGCTTTCTTAGACCAACGGTTTCGCTGGGCCACTGCTCGATGTTGCTCAGGCGGCTCAGGACGCTGAGGCCTCGAGGAAGCCTCTTCGCTGCGGTCGTCGTTTGTGGTTTTGCTTTCTAAGGGCCTGATTTGGTGGATCTGTCGGAAATAAGTCCTCTGAATTCGGGGATCGCAGGAAGACTGAGGCTTGAGGGCTATGGCTCCTAAAAGCTCCTAGACTTCAAGAGGTCTTCAGCTGTAATATAGCTCCCTTGACACGGTCTTCTCGGCATGTCACAAGGCATCCTTACGGCTTTGGCTTGTGGCATATCACCTTCCAAAGCAAGGCACCCCAAACCCTTTATCAGTTCGAAAACACAGCTCTTTTTAGAAATGCGTAAAGTAAATACATGAAGTTGCCGAGTCGGGTGAATATCTGTGATGGAGCCTATGCATGCAGCTCTGGAAAGTCGAACATGAAAGCCCTAAGCCGAAACTTAGTCCCCTGCTTCTTGCCCGTAGAGGACAGGTCTTCCGACCGAGCCATCGTGGACCTCAGGTTTTGGGGGCTGCTAGGTTGCAAAGGCTCTGGGGACTATAGGTTTTAGGCTACTTACGATTCACAAGGCCGTGCTGCCTATACGGGTCTAACTGATTTCCAACCACAGACTAGCCTGACTATTCTTGACCGACACCTTCTCAGCATGTCCAGCTTCGACCTCGAGCCTACCGAGAGGAGTTCTCCCTGAAGCTGCAAGCGCAACAGGCCTCCGGATACATGGACTCCCCAACCGAAGCAGCCAAGCTGCGATTGTTTCTGAAGCATCAGCCCGCGGACAATCGTGGACATTCGCCTGTCGCATTCGTGCTTTTCGCAACATACCTTCAAGGTGACCAATGCTTGCGGCTTGTTTGTCTGTTCTCTGTCTCTGTCTCTGTCTCTGTCTCTCTCTCTCTCTCTCTCTCTCTCTCTCTCCCTCTCTGTCTCCCCCCCTCCGTCCCAGTGTCCCTTGCATTCTCCCACTCTCTCTATCCCCGTCTGTCTCGTCTGCCTCTCTGTCGCATGCAGCGTGGCAGGCGAACGCTAAAGTCTATGTACTGTAGCATTTACGACTTTATGCTTCGAGAAACTTCTTAAGCCTCCCTAAGTCCGTGTTGGTGTTGGTATAAACGAAAACCATGTTGAAGCACATCTTAACTAATGTCCACAGTCACACATGTCCACATTTAGACCTCCCTTCGAGGCGTGGGGACAGCGTGCCCCAAATGAAGGCATATCTGGTCCCTCTCAGCGGTGCCGCCTTCCTCCAGAGTGAGTCCTTTTCTTCTCTGGCCGAAGAGGCTTCGTCCCCATTTGGGGGACTGCCTGTGCTTGAGAGTTGGGAAGCTTCGAGTTGCTTAGCTCTTCGCTGCTACTAAAGGCGGGCGGGTTGCACGGTGTAGGAGGTCGGTGATATCTGCGGGTTTGCGCTCAAGGCAATCTTTGCTTAGCCATTTCAAGTGTCAGAATTGAGTCGGCATTCTTGCAGCAGCTGGCGCTTACGTACTGAAGCTTTTCTAAGAGTCTGAGGTTCGGGTGAAAGATGTGTGGGCGAAGGGGAGTCGCCACGTCGGTAGATCCGCTCTCGCAGCATCATTTCAGGGTTGATGGGTGTGTTGTGCGCGGCTTTGGGGGGGCCCTGGACTCTAAGACACCTCCAGCAAAAGACGCCGCTCCGGGTTCATCTGCGCAATCCGAGACACGGAACCCGACTTCCCCTCAAGAACATGCAAGCCTGCAGCAGACTCAACAAACCGCAAACATACGGCAGGCACAGAACTACGAAATGTCGGGTCCAGAAGCCTAACACCAAGCTGTTCCGTCTGGGCCACTACTTCGCTCAACATGTAGCTTTACCAGTAACAACAGCTAGAATCATTAACCCTGATTCTAGTATCTTCGCGGCGATGCAGAATCACTTGGGCCTGCATCTGTTTGACGCTGTACCAGAGATACTTGCCTCGTGCCCACCAGGGGACTCCGGCAAGTTTCTGGGAGCCATGCTTGACAGTGCAGGTGAATCACGCCGCAGACACATGGCTCAAATACTCTGAGAAAGTAAAGCTTTCGTCGCAGTCTCGGGTTCTACGTCGGCAACCTTGTTAAGCTGTCGTCAGTACGTTGCAGCGTCGGAGCTGAAAGGAGCCCTTGCAACAAACAACCCACAACAGGGGTCGGCAAAGTACAGAGTTCCAGTACGAACCGCAAAACCTCGGTTGCCGCTGCAGCGGCTCTTGGCGACCACAATTTGCCTCTTGCGGCAGCAGCAGATTGCCGCGAGCCAGGCCTCTGCGGCCCTCCTCCTGTCCAAGGGGTCTACAGCAAGGCTTTAGTTGTGATGCGTTCTGGGTTTTGGCAATTCCAGGGCTTGAGGACTTTAGGTGGTGACTCTGAGACTTTGACCTTAGGTTACAGACTAAGTAGTTTCGTTTTGGAGGCTCAGGCTTGAGATCGCTTGCGTAGGAATAATCGAAATACATGGTTACGAAACGGAGATAAACATACTGTGTACTGGGCTCTGAAAACGGGATCCCGTGCACGGCGGCTCGGATGCAAACGGACTGTTTGCGAGTGCTCAGTGTACAATTCCTGTCGGGTATTTGCACTGAAGACAAGTAAACCCCAGGCGCACCTGACACTGTGGGCAAACGCAATCCGCGCCCGCTCGCGCTGGAAGCTGCCTGGGTTGCTATAGAAGTCATGATCTTGATCATCGCTTGTTCTGGCGCTCGCACTCGAGCAACTCAGGCGAGGTTAGTAAGCACTAGAGAAATTGTCGTTTACAATTTCACGAACATTTTCAATATTGTTTCTAGCTGTAGCGGTTAAGGGCTCCACGTACATATGGCATGTCATGTCCACCGCCGGCGCAGGGGGTTGCAACCGGGCGGGGGGTGCATTTAGTTGTATTTTGAATAGCTCCTGGCCAGCCAACGTTAGCAACAACTTGGACCCGCCAATACTGCCACTGACAAATCAAACACTTTCAACGTGTTTCATTTTGTGAGTTTCGGGGCCTGATTTCGCGCTTGAAAGCTAGCCAACATTAGCAACAAGTGCGCAGGCCGGGTCCAACACATGCTCCTCGACCCTCCAGAATTGCCAAAGAGAAAACCAAAACCTGATGGTTTTTTTGAATTCCGGGAACTGATTTCGGGCTCGAAAGCTAGCCGCCATTAGCAGCAAGTGCCCAGCACAAGGGGTGCAGCGCAATTTGGAGGCGACCAAACCTGTCAGCTAGGATTGGGGTAAAGTCGTTGTTGGGAGTGTTGGGGCCATCTCGAACCAACCAAACATGTCAGCCGGGATTGGGGTAAAGTCGTTTTCGGGCAGTCCTGGCGCCATCTTGAAGCAACCAAATCTGTCAGCCGGTATTGGGGTGCAGTCGCTGTTGGGAAGTGCTGGCGCCATTTTGAAGCAACCAAAACTGTCAGCCATAGCCAGGATTGAAGTACAATCGCTGTTGGGAGGTGCTGTCGCCATCTTGAAGCAACCAAGCCTCTCAGTGAGGACTGGGCAAAAGTCGTAGTTGAGAGGTGCTGGCGCCATATTGAAGCAACCAAGCCTGTCAGCCGAGATTGGGGTAGAAAAATGTGCGGAAAAGCCTTTGTTGGGAAGTGCTGGCGCCATCTTGAAGCAACCAAATGCAACCAAATCTGTCAGCCAGGATTGGGGAACAGTGGCTGTTGGGGAGCAGGTGTTGGCGCCATTTTGAAGCAACCAAACGTGTCAGCCGGGATTGAAGTAAAATCGTTGTTGGGAGGTGCTGGTGCCATGTTGAAGCAACCAAGCCTCTCAGAGAGGATTGGGGCAAAGTCGTACTTGGGACCATCTTGAAGAAACACAACCTGTCAGCCAGAGTTGTGGTAAAGTTGTTGTTGGGAGGCGCTGGCGCTTTTGAAACAACCAATCCTATCAGCCAGGATTGGGGTAAAGTCGTTGTTGGGCGGTGGTGGCACCAGTATGTAGCAAAAACATAAGCCCAGGATTGGGGGAAAATCGTTGTGGGGATGTACTTGTGCCATCATGAGGCAACCAAAACGTCGGCCAGGATTGGGGTAAAGTCGTTCTTCGGAAGGTGCTGGCGACATTTGGAGGCAACCAAACGCGTATTGATCGTTGGCGCCACTTTGCAGCAACCGAAACCTGTCGGCCATGATTGGCGTAGAGTCGTTGCTGGGAGGTGCTGGCGCCATGATTGAAACAAGCGTGCCAGCCTGGAATGGTGTAAAGTCGTTGTTGGGAGGTGCTGACGCCCGATTGAAGCCACCTAAGCCACCAAACCTGTCAGCCAGGGTTGGGGTAAAGTTGTTGTTGGGAGGTGTTGGCGCCAAGCAACCAAACCTGTCAGCCAAGATTGGGGTAAAGTTGTTGTTGGGAGGTGCTGGTCAGTTTGTTGACGCAGCCAAAACTGTCAGCAGTTGGGAGGTGCTGGCGCGATCACAAGGCAACCAAATTGGGGTAGAGTTGTTGTTGGGAGGTGCCGGGACTGCTTGGGAAAAACCAAACCGCTTGGGGTAATGATCGTTCTTGGTGGACGTTGGCGCCATGCGGAAGCAACCAATTCTGTCAGCCAGGATTGAGGTAAAGTTGTTGTTGGGAGGTGCTGGCGCCATTTTGAAGCAACGGAAGCTAGCCAGAAATGTGGCAAAGTCGGTGTTGGGAGGTGCTGGCGCCATGTTGAAGAAACAAATCCTGTGAGTGGGTAGGAGGTGCTGGCGCGATTTTGAAGGAACCAAGCCAGTCAGCCAAGATGGGGGTAAAGACGTTGTTAGGAGGTGAATTGCGCCATTCCTAAACAATCAGACCTTCAGCCAGGATTGGGGTAGCGTCCTTGTTGGTATGTGCTGGTGCCATGCTGAAGCCACCAAACCTTGGGGTAAAGCCGTTGTCGGGAGGTGCAGGCGCCATTTGGAGCAAAGAGAAGAAAAGCCAGGCTGGGGGTCAAGTCGTTGTTGGGGGGTGCTGGCGCCGTGGCGCCAGTTTGAAGCAACCAAACATGTCAGCCAGGATTGGCGTAAATTGGTTGTTGGGAGGTGCTGGCACCGTTCAGAAACGACCAAACCGATTGGGGTAAAGATCGTTGTTGAAAGGTGCAGGCGGCATGTTGAAGCAACTGAACCAGTCAGCCCAGATTGGGGTAAAGACGTTGTTGGAACGTGCTGGCGCTGTTTCGAAACAACCAAGACCGGTTGTTGGGAGGTGCTGGCGCCATTTTGAAGCAACCAAACCTGTCAGCCAGGATTGGGGTAAATTCGCTGTTGGGGGGCGCTGGCTCTAGTTTCAAGCAACCAGTCTGTTAGCCGCTAGCCAAGGTTCGTAAAATCGTTGTTGGGAAGTGCTGGCGCCATTTTGAAGCAACCCGCCTGCCAGCCAAGATTGGGGCAAAGGCTTTGTTCGGCTGGGAGGTGCTGGCGCCTCCTTTGAAGCCAGCTAGGATTGTTTTTAAAGTCGTCGTTGGGAGGTGCTGGCGGCATTTTTGAAGCAACCAAACCTGCCAGCCAGGTAAAATCGTTGTTGGGAGGCGTTGGCACCACATCTAATTATTGTTTGGAGGTAGGTCTGTGTCACGATTGATGCGTATAAGACCCAAGCATCACGACCATCAGAAAATGCTTGCTATCCGCGATGAAAAACCCAAGCAGCCCTGGGCCTTTCGCCCCAAGTGTGGAAACCTGAAGCTTTAGGCTTTAGGCATTCAATACAAATCCGGCGGCGGTAGCGGTTGTGGTAGGCCTGAGCATAGCCTCGGCAGCAGAGCCAACGGCCAAGGGTTAGGGGCTTTAGTGGCAGTTTGCAGCGAATCAAAAACCTTCTACGAAAGGTTTGGCCCTAGAGTTGTATCTGCACGGCCCTGCAGGGACAGGGAAAACGGCGAAGGGCTCAGGTGCCATGAGTCACGCATCGAGGATGATTGCTTGGGACTCAGACATTGCGACTTACGGATTGAGTCGAGGGTGAAAAACGCTTCACAAAGGCAGTTGGGTTGGCAACGCGAAACTCAGATTGTACAAGCACCAAACAAAACTGAAGTGTAGCTCACATTCGCCCGGGTAGCTCTCTGACAGAATGCCGATGAAGATATTCCTCGGCCGTTCAGATGACCGGTCCGCTTTACGGCCATGAGAAAGCGTGGGAACCTGATGGAACCCGTGTTACCTCTTTCCTGAAGAGCGGCCCTCAAAGCCTGAAACCACACAGAGGGATCTCCGGTTTGGAGCACTCCATGGACTCCCAAACACTGCTTGAAGTTGAAACACACCTGAAACATCCCTAAGGCCTAGGTCTCGCCACTCGACAGGCAGACTTTCCTCGACGAGCCCCATAGAAAACAGCAAGCAAGGGCTCATGGAATTTTCGGTCTTTAGGAGCGCAGGGGCTGAATTCAGGACTGCGGCTCATGACTTGAGGCTTTGCCAAGTGAAGGCTGATTGTGTGCGTGTGGAATTTCGCGGGGATAGGGCTAGGAACCTCTGGCTTAGGGTCTCCTTATGTCAAACCCAAGGTGAGCTGCGACTTGCATCTGCAGCAGGTGGCAGCCGAGTCACATCATCACCACCGTCATCAGAAGCCCAGAGATCATGCTCAGCACCGCGGCAAGATCCTTCTTGGTGTCCTGGCTCTACAGGTCGAAACCCGTCGTACATCGCAGAACTTACCAACTACAAGTAGCTTCTCAAGCCCAGGCCCTCGGCCTTTAAAGGCCTTGAGCAGGTGAACCAACCCAGAACCCTGACAAGCTACACCTTTCACCCCGACACCCCTGAACCATACACTCTTAGCTTTTAGTCTTTGAGGCCAGGGCTCTTTGCCTGCAGCATGAAGCTGTTCTTGCTACTGGATGCCACGAAACTCTGAACAGTACTCTAAACCCTCAGCCTGATCTCGCTGTACATCCTGCAACTTCTACCTGCAAGCATGGCTCCAGCTCTCGTCGCATCTTTATTCTTTTGGGTCACGATAGGATCAATGCAGTTCTCTCCGCCTTCACACCGCCTCATGATCACTGACACAAAACTTACTACAAAACCACATTGCTTCCAATCAACATCGAATCAACGGGCCAACTACGGGAGTTAACAGTTGCAGCTGTTCGGCAGCTACAAGCCCTGGCAAGTAGTGACGTTTGGAGGTGCTGGCTAGTTTCGATAAGTTCCCATATTCAAAGCTGAGATACCTGGCAGCGCTGCGAGTTGTTGTTTGTCTTGCTCGGGCCACATTGAGCTAAAAACGAACAGTGGCAGTCGCCTCTGCCAGCCCGTGTCCCGTCCTTTTTCCTTCCTTCCTTCCCCTTCCTGTTTTGATGTAACTTAGCATTCGTCTCTGGATCTTTGCAAAACAGGCCATCGCCGAAAAGCCAAGGAGCTAAGTGCAACTCCAACAACCGCAGGGTAAATCAAAGTCTGTCCGAACCCTTTACTCCCTACAGTCCTGGGTGTTCCACACTGGGTTCTCGAGATCACTCAGGAAGCCCAGGCGATAGATCACATAGAAGGAATCGAAAACTCTCTCCTCGGAAGTAATTACAAGGCGGCTTAGAGTTCGCAGCAGGGTTAAGGTGCAGACCTAGACCTCCAGTACCTACAGGTAAGGGTAGTCCGTGAGCAGTCGCCGAAAGCTGGCATAGGTCCACCAATAGCTGGCGATTCTCTCCGACCCAGCAGGCTTCTAGGTTCGTTCTAGGAATCACCTGCGGTGCGGGACGATATGGATCTAGAGTCTGCAGTTCTGAAGTAGGATCTGGACTCCAGACAGCACTGGAGCAAGAAGGAGCTGAATATAGGTGAGGTGTTGTGTGAGCCAGACGGAAACGATTGAGAGATATCTACCTGGTGTCCAACCTGCAGTTATGGCGCCTTGAGGGCTTTATGTCGCAATGAAGCTTGATTCTCGGTGCATGCCGGGTGTTGCGAAAGAAACTACATCCCTGAAACCCTTCAGCCCAGGCCGCAAGTCGCAAGCAAACATTCAAACCTCACCATAAAGACCTGCATAGCGGTCCCATCATCAGACCTGAAGGAAATGGTGCCCAAAGATGCCATGGAGCCGCACCAGTCAGCCCCAGGGCGATATAAGCATTGGTGAAAGCACAGCCGGCCACCAACCTAATGCGATCGGTCAATGTACGTATGTACACACATTGGGCATATGCATGTGCATGTGTGTGTGTGTGTGTATCTGTACATGCACAAAAGTCCATGTGTACGTACATCTGTCTCTCTCTCTCTCTCTCTCTCTGTCTCTCCCCCCCCCCTGTATGTGTGTTATATATATATATATATATATATATATATATATAATACATATATACACACAAACCACAGAAACAGTCACCTGTCAGCCGGACACAGAACACCGGCCATATACATACACGCATGCATACATACACACGCACACACGCACACACACACACACACACACACACACACACACACATACATACGTACATACATACATACACACACACACACACACGCATACAGACAGACAGACAGACAGACAGACAGGCAGACAGACAGGCATACACGCATACATACATACATACATACATACATACATACATACATACATACTATACCATACATACCTACCTACGTACGTGCGTACGTACATATACATATTATATATATATATATACACATATGTTTTCATTTGCTTATGTACATGTGTTTACACATACATGTATATGTAAGGTTGGAAATCTTGTTGCTGGGCAGTTCCATGAATTTTGTCTTCGTGTGGATGCGTGGGTCACAAGCGATGATGACAAGGCACAGGATCGCGGCGAACATTCGCGACGAGATCCTGGGATAGGGTGTTGCATGGTGGCGCTAGGGCCGGCGGGGGATCAGCCCAGGTTCGGGAATCAGTAGTGCGAGTAAGTAGAAGTTTTTGCGCAGAACATGAAAAATATCGGGTGCGGAGCGAGTTTCCAGGCTTCGGGCTACAGCGGTCCCCCTGTTCATGCCGGCCCAAACCTGCAAACTCTGAGCCCTGAGCCCTGCACCTGCAAACACTCCGAACTCTGAAGTTCTGTGCCGAAATCTCAATTCACCAAAACACTAGTACAGAAACAACCGAAAGCGACAATCCCTCTTACTCCTGGCCAAAACCACGAAACTTCACCCGCAGGACATCTGCAACTGCGACTCTAACTATATCGTCTGAACACAGCAATGGGCCATAAATACTTTGGAGCCATCTGTACGTCCATCCGAGCTGCAAGGCTCGCTCAATGGGTAGAACCTGATGGGTCGCGAATGCTCATTTTCAGTTGTGTTGTTTTGTTTCGGGGTTCGTGCTTAAGCTTTCGGGTGGCTATGTAGTGCTTCGGGTAGTTCATCGGTTTCGAAGCGATTGACGATTTTGCGAAGGCTTGGGAAATCCCGTTCAGTTCGTGTTAGCGCTCCAGGTGTACTACTCTTCCTCAAAAGTCTTACAAATTGCTGCCACTGCTGGCACCGATGGCATTGCTACCCTCATTGTTCTCTTGCCCTGTTCAGTCATATTACGTGCTTACTAAATTTACTATATCCAACTCGGCAGCCCGAAACTCGTGCAACTTAGGGCGGCGTTGCGGTTGTCCGCCTGAACAGCCTTGAACGCCCAGGCACAGCTTTGACATGCCGACAGTTCTGCCGACAGTTGCAAATCGTGAACCCTGTAGCCTGAAAACTGTAACCCGGAGCTCTCCTTCCTGCTTAGGCCCTTTCGGGCATTAAGGAACAGCATGTAAGCTATTACGCCGATAGTTGAAGCTGGGCTAGCCGTGCGCGCATGATGCAGAGTCTCTACAGGGCTGGTGCTTCGGTGTGGTAGGGACTTCATGGTTTCAAGTTGGGTCCTCAAGTCTTCGAGGCCCTTGCCTTAGGAGGCTTTCGGGGACACTCGGACTCTGCAGGCGGGGGTCTCTTCTGTATTTTTGCCACTCGCGCTGGCATGCTGTACAATTGCAGCTTCAAGTTGGCAAGGAATTTTCAGAGAGGCAGCGGGAAATATAGTGCAGCAGGACAAACATAGATGTGCTTAACCCCTGATCACCATGTTGTAGTATCCGCTGCCAGGCACATCTCGTGCGTTAATGTCGAAGCTCGCGAAATTGATGCTAGTTCGCGAAGTCTTCTCCCATTCGGCCCACTCCTCGTAGGTCTCGCCGGATGGCCTGGTTCCCGCGCGGTGCGGTGTATCGAGCTTCTGCAGCAACTCAGTGGCCTTCAGACATGAGAAGATTTTCTTCTCATCTGGCGTCTCCAATTGGTAGATTGTGAAGTCGCACACTTCGTCGTGCTCTTGCAGGGGTATAGTCACAGGCCCTGGCATGATTGCGAAGCCCTGGTAGGGTGGTAGAGACTCCTTCTCTACGTCACTCTTCACCGTGTCGAAGGAGTACTTCTGCCCGTTGATCTGGAACTCGAAGCGGTGGGTAGGTTTCGCCATGGCAGTGCTTCCCACAATCGGTCCAGTGCAGATCGCTTGATCACTTCAGAAACCTAAGCCAAAACGGCTTGGGGTTCGGACTGAAAATTTTGCGGCTTCCATGGACATGGGATGCAGGCCCCGATTGGAGGCCCTCGCGGCGCCTGATGCAAAAAAAACCTTCGTCGTAGCTGAGGCTTGACCACCTGGGCCTTCTTCGACCCTTGACTGAAGCAAGGCTTGTTCAGTTTTAAAGTTTTGCCTCGTCGGGCGTAGACGTAGATGGCTTTTGGTTTCCGAGGTGGGGGCTACGCTTGGCTGTCTGCTGCATGCTGTGGGGGGGGACATTCACACATCAGTCAGGGCATGGTGCTCGCCCAGCAGGGCTAAGGAATCAACCCCAGATGCTGTAAGACCTATATCCAGGTGACAAACCACAAACTGAGTTCTCAAATCAGCGCAATGGATGTTGAAAAATTGCGAGGAAGGCTTGGGTGCTTGAGTCTCTGGAGGCTCCTCACATGGGCAAAGGTCATTTAAGCCAAGTATATGCAGACTTCCCAAAACCAAGGTATTACCATTGTTATATCACTCGAAGCAGCACCCTGGCTTGCGGAGACGGATTTTGGTGGGTCTCTGGCCTTCTCGCCAACCCACTGATAACCTCGAAAGGTCGTGAGGACGTGCGCCCAGCGCAGAAGCACAGTGACAGCCAGGAGAATACCTGCGGGCAAGACATGGGTGCTTTTCGATTTCCATACTGGTCAGGCAGCTAACCGCTGCTATCCGCTGCTGAAGCTGGGACTGTGCGGAGTGCAGATACCCTGAACGCCCTGACTGAAATCTGCACCTGGACAAGTTCCTCTCCAAGTTAAGTTACAAGTTAAATTCCAGACCAGGTTGCTCCACAAAAGAGCCCGGTATCTTACATCTCTTAACATGGAACCTACCCCGGTGGTCCCTACGAAGATGTACAACCCGAACCTGGCCTAACCGTTTAACCAATATACCTAGCCTGACCTTTTCCCAACGTGCCTTGACCTGGCCCCAACCGAATCCAGCCCTAACCCGACCCACTCTCGCTTCCCTAGCTTGACATCATCCCAGCCTAACCGGACAAACCTATCCCAACCTTATCTCTATCCCGGGACTCAACACCACCTAACTAACCTCAGCTAACAGTTCTAACCGAGCCCGCCACCCAACCCTCCAAGCCTTAGCCAGTTCACTAGAAGGACGTTTCGGTTCACTGAAGCGGCGCGGCTCCCTGAAAGAACTATGTTCCTCTAAAGCACACTTCATGTTCAGACTCCCGGGAAAGCCAGAGCGCTGAACTCGGAGGATGGCGTCGTCCACTGCTGATGCTCGTAGGCCAGATCCGAGATGACAACGTAGCCTGGTGGTTGCAGGTTCCGGGCTTTGCTTCGCGCTCGCGCAAATCGGACAAGCCAGGCGAGCTCGCGGTGCACATGGGTAAGTCGTAAGGCATGGTCATACATGCAGATACTCTCAGCAATCCAAACAACAAAGCTTTATAGTTTTATTGTCTCTGAATGAATTGCAAGATCTCGGAACCTGTCGTTACCTTCCGATCGTCAATCGCAAACTCTCCAAATCCTACAACTCATACCCCGCAGCCGCAACCTTAGGACTCGAAATCTGTCGCCAATTCCTGCGAGCACTTGCGAGCCAGCAGCAAAGCCCGATGCGAACCCAGACCAAGTAATTGGCCGCCTCGCCCAGGAAGAAGCAACAGTGGCAGTGTCTGAGGGGGCCCTATAGCGCTTAGAGGTGTCAGACTTTACATCGATCCTTAACCCTTACACAACTCTTGCAAACGGAGCCTAACGTCTTCAGACCAACGTGTGGTGACGGGCTTGTTTTGTGGGGGGATCTGAGAGTCTTGCGCCGAGGATGTAGACTTCAGAGTTCTGGACACAAGTGGCCAATACGCCGAGCACGTAGCAAAGCGCACGGAAAAGGACTGCATGATGATGAGCACATTCTACATGACGCCAAACAACGCCAAGAACCGAGCAACTGCCCAAGACTTCAGGTGAATCTCAGAACACAGAAACCGTAAACCGCACACATGCACACGCATGTCCGACTGCAACGCGATTGGCTTCAAAAAGTGCATCCATCGCGCAAAGCTGTAACATGCCGTGCCGGTCTGCAAAGCTTCTCTGCCGCCCAGATGCTGTCGTCAAGTGCTGCCGCAGCCTCGGTTAGAGAAGCCCAACGTCCTGAGCCCTCCGCCTTAAGCTCAGCAGGCTGAAAACGCAGACCCCGTCAGCCCAAAAGCCTGACGATGGTCGGGTTCAAGCTCTTGTGCAAACAGAGGGCTTCCCCAGCAAGAACATACCCTGCAGCGAAAAGAGCTCCTTCAGGAAGTTCAAGGACACCTCGTCTGCTGCGGAGGCTTTGTGAAGGACTTCGTGTGTCAGTCGAAATCAGCAGGAAGTACTTCAACTGGCGGCAAGAGAAGTGTCCAGGCAACAACACTTGGGGACCGAACCCCCGAAAGTGGACTTGAGATAGGCAGCCTGACATGCAAAGTTCTGAATCCCCAAAGAGGGGCTTAAAAGATGAGAGTGCCTTCTTGCTGTTGCTGCCAGGGGTGTTCGTTTTTGTTTGCTGTTGCTGCTATGCAGGAACCGAAAACCAAAAAGTGTGAAAAACACAAAAAACAAGCAACTAACCAACCCCAGCCAGCCAGCCAGCCAGCCAGCCAGCCAGCCAGCCAACCAGCCAACCAGCCAACCAGCCAACCAGCCAACCAGCCAACCAGCCAACCAGCCACCCAGCCAGCCAGCCAGCCAGCCAGCCAGCCAGCCAGCCAACAAGCCAACCAGCCAACCAGCCAACCAGCCACCCAGCCACCCAACCAGCCAACCAGCCAACCAGCCAACCAGCCAACCAGCCAACCAGCCAACCAGCCAACCAGCCAACCAGCCAACCAGCCAACCAGCCAACCAGCCAACCAGCCAACCAGCCAACCAGCCAACCAGCCAACCAGCCAACCAGCCAACCAGCCAACCAACCAACCAACCAACCAACCAACCAACCAACCAACCACACACACACACACACACACAGACACACACACACACACACACACACACACACACACACACACACAGACACACACACACACACACACACAGACACAGACACAGACACAGAGAGACAGACACAAACACAGAGTGGAGGAACCGCAACAGCAACATCCTGCACACTTTTGCTGTTACGACAGCGGTAGAGGGGCACGCGGTGCGTGTGTGTGTGTGTGTGTGTGTGTGTGTAGGTACGTGTGTGCTTGCTGTTTTGCTGTCCCTGCACATGTGTGTGTGTGTGTGCGCCCGTTTTTTGCTGTTGGCGAGTTGCTGCTGCTGCTGCTGCTTCTGCCGCTGCTGCTGCTGAGGGGTGCTTTTTGTTTGCTGTTCCTGTGTGCGTGTGCGGTGGGCGCGTGCACGCATGTGGGCGTGTGCGCGCGCGCACGGGCGGCGTGCATGTGCACGGGCGTGCGGGGGCACGGGTATACACGGGCGCATGGGCGTGCCTGCCTGCGCGCCTGCCTTGCCATGCGTACCTGCCTTGCGTGCGTGCCTGCCTGCTTGCGTGATCTTGCGTGCCTGCATGCCTGCATGCCTGCGTGCCTGTGTGCCTGCCGTACCTGCTGCAGTGCCTGCGTGTTTGCGTGCCTGCCTGCCTGCCTTGCCTGCCTCCCTCCCTGGCTGGCTGGCTGGCGTGCCTGCCAGCGTGCCTGCCTGCCTGCCTGCGTGGGTACGTGCGTGCATGCGTCGTGTGTTCGTGTGTTCGCGTGTTCGTGTGTGTGTGTGTATGTGAATGTGTGTGTGTGTGTGTGTGTGTGTGTGTCTGTGTGCATGTGTGTGTGTGTGTGTGTTGTTGCCGTTGCTGTGCGGAAGGGGTCGCTTCCTCTGCACAACGACAACAAAAGAGCAGCAACAGCAGAAAAAGAACGAACGCCCATTCATTCCCGGGCTTCAACCTTTTACTAGCAATCAGGATAGATTGTCATACCCCGAGATCCGACCCGAATGCCCAGCTGCAAGAACAGCGCTCGCAGCCAACACGATGTACCGGTTACTGGGAATTTTCCTGAACGTCACAACACACTTTCCTGTGTTGAGTAGCACATGTGCTCGACATGAGGGGGAAGTCAGTCTCTCGAATAGCAATGACCTAGTATTCGGTAGTACTCTTCCTGTCCGCCGATGCACATTGGCAAATCTTGCTACGAAAAAAGCAGCCTGCAGAACTGGCACCCACCTACCTGGTGAACATCTCTGTCGGATACCAGGACTCGACTTCACCCACGCCGTCTTTCGAGCCTCTTTGTGGTCTGCGCAGCGCTACAAAATCAGTCACTGCCGAGAATCTCCGGTGTGTCTTGCAGGAAGAGCGTGATGACGGCAAACAGCACCCTGAGTTCTTTCCAAATGTAAGTCGGAGCTGCAAGTCCAGGAATGCTTCTGCCGCTGCAACGATGACGACAAGAGGAAGCCGTGTGGCAAAGCTAAAACCATTATAAAGACCATAGCTGCATAAAATACTGACTGCTTAGTCTCCATCCCACATCCAGCCGGCCAAACTCTGCTCTCTACTAGCACCTGACCAGGTGGCGCAAGGCTCACGCTGATGAAGCTGTCCAGGAGGGCGCCCCGCCAAGCCTTGCCGACGATTTGAAAGGAACTGCGGGTTGAGCGTGAGGATCAGGATTGAGGTTTCAGGTCCTGCTATGGAGGAGTTTCGACGCTCACAACACCGCAGGCATGGACACGCGCTGCATCAAGAAGTTAAAGAAGGGTTTAGCGTTAAGTGTACAAGGACACAACATAAATCATGTTCAGATTTTCTCACATTTGCATGCTAGTCGGGCACCTACGAGTAGACTCGGGACCTCAGGTTTCGGACAGTGGGATGGTTGAAGTTATTCTCCGGGTCTTTTTGTTCCCAGAGATGCGCTGCAATGAAGTCTTCGCTGGGAAAATTCCCTTGCAGAGGCTTTGGGTGTCTGGGCTTCGAATGGGGTGTAAGGATTTGCCATCTAGGCAGGAAGTTGCGGGTGCGAGGCTACACTTAGTCGGCTTTCCTGGAGCCTAGACTTCGGGATTTCAGGACGAAGCCGGGCGCGGCATGGCGCGGCCTGGTTCCAGCCCAGGCTGATGATCGCCTGCCCGGTCCAAAACCCCAAACACCCGAACCCGAAGCCCTAACCAACACCAACATAACGTTCATAACACTCATGAAGCCTGAACGCTGGAATCCAGATCGGTGTACATAGTTTGTCGTGTTATTCTGGTCTGGCCAACAAAGTCCGTGGATTTTCATCATCAGAGCGTCTCGGAAGGTCCTTCAGCCCTTATCTTGGCGTGCTTACACGATGTTGCTTCGGTGCGCCATCGAAGTGGCATAGAGGCATAGAGGGCTCGGGCGGAGCTGCAGGGTCAACAAGAATCTGCTTGAGGTATATACCCCAGTCTCAACTTTCCGTCTATACGGCTCATGGGGTCTTCCGCTCGACAAAGACACGGGATTCCCGGTGCTGCTCCTGACAGCCCTCGAAATTGAAGATGTCTTCGTTGCTCGAGTGCGCAATGGCCTCGAGAAAACAATTCAGAACGAACTTTAATGCCAGCTCCCATGCTGTTCAGTGCCGTTGAAGGATTTTCATGAGCTGGAAGGGTTGCAGATCCTGGCAGAAAGAATTCATGCTTGTAGATTTCGAGGTTTGGTTTTGACGAGTCACTGAAGCTACAAGCCTTTTATCGAATCACCATTTGATTGCACGAAAGTTCGGCTAAGGGTCCAGGGAGCCAACAACCGACTCCGCAGAACGCTTGCGGTAGCCTCTCTCTTGAGTTGAGACTGGGTGCATACATCACGTACTCGTTGTTCAAGACATCCGGCAGCAGGCATTGAAGAACACGAGCTGGGGCGATGAATGTCCTTTCAGCGGATGCTCACTTCTGTCGATGTCCAGATTTCTGTGTTGCAACGGGGGGCATGGTGGAGGTATTGAGGCAGGGTTCAGACATGAAGGTCAACACCAATGGCAATGGCTGCGTGTTTCAATGGAAGCAGCCTAGCGAGCCAGTCATCATACCCATGCACTCGGCAAATTGGACAATGCGATGACTACCTGATGCTGCCAAAAGCCGTGTGAAGATGCTTGCAAATCCTAGCCTTCAACCCTCAACCTCAGTTCCCCGCCAAAACTCATCGCAGACCCACGCGCACCAAATGTCGACAAGCACTCGCGATGGTAATGGAGCGATCTATACCAGCCAAGTACTATAAGACCCTACTAGGGCCACTCAACAGGCTTTCAACCCTGGTAAACGACCGCACTTACACGCGAAGCTTGACAGATAAGTTGAACATGCGAATGACCCACAATTGAACCGGAATGGTGAAACGAGGGGCAGGGCTTTTCGAAGTTTGGGCGGAAATCCTAACAGAGTTTATGCCAGTCCGGGGCTAACCGGGTCCTTTCCGTTATGGAACCGGGTCCTAGGATTTATGTTGCTGACATGAGTGACATGTAAGAACACGTGTATATAGGACATGTGTTGCTGACATGATGGACATGTAAGAACACGTGTATATAGGACACGTGTTGCTGACATGATGGACATGCAAGAACACGTGTGATGGACATGTAAGAACACGTGTATATAGGACACTTGTTGCTGACATGATGGACATGTCAGAACACGTGTATATAGGACACGTAAAGCAACATGTCTGATGTCGTGCTGAAGGGGGGGGGGCAGGACGGAAAACAAATGCAACTACTGCAGCAACATTGGGCCTACGTCATGTGTGTTCTTGTGGCTCTATGGAAAGAGCGAGATGCTGGACATGTATAAAAAGATGTGTGCTTGTGGCTCAATAGAAAAATCAATGCCTGAAAAACTTGGTTTGTTCGAAATGTGAAAACATGTACATCGAAAAATCAAAGCCATACTGACATAATTGCCTGTCCCAAGTTTTGTAGTTCACATGGAATTTCTTTGTTGCAAGATATTTTTGAAGTTATTTTGAAGATTCGTTTGTGCCGAGCAAACCAAACAAATGCAACTTGGTGTTCTTGTGGCTCAACGAAAACAAGAAGCTTGAGATTTTGTGTTCTGAAACCCTAAAGTCAGCTTTTTGTACGATTCACAACGACTTGAAAATTAGTGTGTGTGTGTTCATGATTAAACATGAAGGGAATCTAAGCTTTCGTAACGTCCAGCTCATGCCCTAAACCCTGGACCCTAAACTGTAATCCCACCCAACCCCCAAACCCGCCCACCCACTCCTGCAGGTAGGTATAGATAAGTAGATAGGCAGGAGGGAGGTACTTGTAGGTCTAGGTGCACCGGCAGGCTTCCAGGTCTCTAGATAGCTAGGTAGGCGGGCATGTAGGTAAGGAGGCATTGATCAGGAAAGAAGTTTAAAGGTAGCAGGCAAAAGTAGTTGTAATTAGGCATTCGCGCAGGCTCTGTCAGGATGTCAGGTCGCCACATCAGAGGTCTTCGGAGCCCCGTGCAGGGGCGTACCCGCACCAAGCCCTTGAAGGGGCTGCGGGATGAACCCCGAATAGGGGTGAGCTTGGACCCCGAACAGGGGTCGTCGGAGCCCCGTACAGGGGTGTGGATGAACCCCGAAAAGGGGTGAGCCTGGACCCCGAACAGGGGTCGTGAGAACCCCGTGCAGGGGTGTGGATGAACCCCGAACAGGGGTGAGCTTGGACCCCGAACAGGGGTCGTTAGAGCCCCGCACAGGGGCGTCCGATGAACCCCGAAAAGGGTGAGCCTGGACCCTGAACAGGGGTCGTGAGAACCCCATGCAGGGGTGTGGATGAACCCCGAACAGGGGTGAGGATGAACCCCGAGCAGGGGTGAGCCGGATCCTCAAAGACAGATGCAGAGAGAAAGAAAGAGAGAGAGAGAGAGAGAGAGAGACAGCGAAAATAATTAACGAAGCAAGGAAGGAAGCAAGGAAGGAAGGAAGGAAGCAGGGAAGGAAGCAGGGAAGGAAGAAGGAATGATCAAGATGAGGGTGTGACTGTAGATGCGAGGAATGAGCAGGCAGCAAGGAGTGATGTGAGGGAAGGAAGAGGCAGGAAAGTCATGCATGGATTCAGTATCTCTCTGCTCACTTTCCGTCTGTCGCCGGCCAACCAGGCTGAGACAGTCTGCGCATCGAGATCCTCGAAGAGCCCCGGCCTAAGCCACACCAAGACTTGACTGCTGCACCGTCGGTTGCTTCCAAGCTCAACATGTTGGACTGCAGCAGCTTTTCATCTCAAGATTCAAGGAAATCGCACCGTTTTTTCTTGGCGCCACTAGCGCCATGACTGAGCAAGTGTACACCGACGCGGAATGGGCGGCTTGGCGTCGAAGTCAAAACCCTGCAGGAAGCCACCAAAACCCTGCAGGAAGCCACGACGACACAGAGACGGACCCAACGAAGCAAGGCTTCACAAAGGAACTCCGACCCCTTCCGGATGAATGGAAAGTTGAGTGGAAGAAAGCTGAGAAGAACAAGCAGCACTCAGCCAATGACTTCAGCGGTATCAGGCGCCTCTGCAACAGAAGGTTGCAACAGATGTACAACCAATGGAAGAATGAGGTGGAGCACACGGAGAAGCAGGATTCGGCTATCAACAAGCTCGCCATCTTGACGCATAACAAGGACCGCATGGAAATCGATCGCTTGAGGGAGGTTGAGAAGGAAGCGATTTGGACGAAGAAAATGTACGAGGCGAAGATTGCGGACGACAATAAGAAGCACGAGGCCGAACTGGCAGCTCTAAAGAAGAAAGGCGAGGACATGCTGGACGAACTGGAGAACACGCATGAGAGAAACAACCAGGAAAGGGCTAAGAGGCTGTCCATCACGGAAGATACGTACAGGTACAAGTTCGAGGATAGCCAGAAGGAGATGAAGGTACTGACTGCCATGTATGAGAACAAAATCAAAGAGATGAACGCCGAGCACCAGGCACAGATGGCGAAAGAGAAAGAAGAGAACAAGAAAAAGTTCGACGAGAAGGTTTCCAAAGCCCAGACGGACATGACAAACAAGTTCAAGAGCAGGTTGAAGAGGCTCGAGGATGCACAGGTCAAGTACAAAGAGAAAGTCCTCACTGCAACGGGGCTTTGGAGACAGACACTGGCAAGGAAAGAGGATGAGGTCCTGCGGCTCCGGCTACGACTCCGCTTGCAGGAACCCGCGAGCTCGGCGCAGCAAGACAACGAAGAGAAGCTCAAGGACAGTAAGGCTTGGCCCGACAGTTCATTTGTCAGTTGTTCAGTCAGTGAAATGCGCATCTCTGACAGGAGAGTTTGCATCCCACGTCCCCGACGGTCGTTTTCACCCCGACCTCTCCCGCACGCAGCCCGAGCCTTGGTTTCATCACCGCAACCTTGTGCGACCCCAACTTCGCACGTTCCAGGTAGTGACGAGTCCGACTCTGACTTCGATCGGGAAGGAAAGCGATCCCGCTCGCCCAGATCCGACAGGACGGATTATCGCAGTAAGCAGTGAGACGGAATAACGGATTTCATAACGTAGCTGATGGCTCTGATCGTGACATCCCCATGGATTCGAGTCTTAACCAAAACAATCTGACATCTAGTGATTCTGAATCCGCTTACAGTTTCAAGAACACGACGAACTCCATGGTTGATGCGGCGGCACAGGGGCATGGGCCCGGTGGCCGTGTGAAGTTCCTAGAAAGACTTAGGACTTCTGACTGGATGGGTCATGAAGCCAAGAGCAGCATCGGAAAAAGTCGCATGCATCAGGGACCATTCCTGCATGACAACCCCGCCTCCCCCCCCAAACCACCCACCACGAACCGGTCCCCCAACCAATTCCCGCACCCCTGATTCACACCCACCCACCGTCACCCAGCCACCTAACCGCCCCACCCATCCATCAACCACCCACCGAGAAACCCACCCACCCCCCCCAACCCCCCTGTGCTGGGCGGCCTGTTCGGTGCTTGCACTTAAGTGACAGACACTTCTTAAACACGGTGGGTGGTGATGTCTCTGACACGAAAGGTCAACGTATTCCTCGAGACCTACAAGCAGGACCCGACTGCCACATGGAAGATCCGCAACAGCAAGAGCGACATTGTCGCTCTTGCTGTTGCGGATGTGTGGTGCAGGTCGAAAGCGACACGACCTGCACTAAGGTGCAAGAAGGCCTTGACGGTGGCTACATCATCCCAGAAGGTTCATGGTGCAGGACTGGTAGGTACCCGCTCCTGCACCTTGAACCTACTGGGATGATAAAGGGGACATGCTGACTGGAGGCTGGGAAGTGGCACGTCTTGAGCTCGGCGGTGATGTCTCTAGCACGAAAGGCCTACGTACTCCTCACCTAGAAGCGCGACGGACGAGCACACCAACATGCTCACTGGTCACTGGCTGGGCAGTGCCACTTTTAAGCTCGGTGCTTCAGACGGACATGACAGTTTCAGGAACAGTGCGGCATGTGCAGTCCATGGCTGTGTGATGCTGTGAGTGTGCGCCCGTCTGACAGCAGAACTATCTCAAGCTTCCCAAAGGAGTACACTTTTCATAGCCCTTTGCATCATGGTGGAGCTCACGGAGGTGTTGCTCGCTTTGGCAATTGTAGCCATTGGCTACATGTACAGCATACAGCAGAACCAGCAGAACAAGAGAAGGGCCAAGCAGGAGGAGGACAGCGGCAGCGAAGAAGAGATCAGGCCCAGGAGGAGGAAGGCCAGGGCCAGTCTCATGGAGGAGGACAGCGGCAACGGGAGGTCAGACCGCAATAATGACAAAAAGCATACGGCCACAGCACAACCACAAGATCCAATAGAACCAACACAGCAGGAAAGCAAGCCCAAAGATGA